CCCACAACCCTAAACCCTAAACCCTAAACCCCAAACCCTAAACCCTACACCCTAAACCCTACACCCTGAACCTAAACCCCAAAGCCCAGACTCGCTTTCGAGGAGTTGCTCGTGGAGCTGGGTGATGCCTGGGCGGCGCAGCTGTTCTCCCAGCTGCAGACGGACACTCCGTCTTCACTACTAGTTGCTTAAGCACCCCCCCCCCCAAAAAAAAAAAAACATAACATAATATTATTCCTTATAAGGATAATATAGGGTTTTTTTAAGAAAAATCTTTTGGGGTTCTAAAGCAAATAGTAGTTCAGGGTTTGGTGGCACTGAGTTTGGGCTTAAGGCTCTTGAGGTTTTTGGTTGAGGGTTTAGGGTTTAGAGATTAGGTTGAGGGTTTAGGGTTAAGGGGGCTATGCTAGGGTTGAGGGTCCAGAGATTAGGTTGAGGGTTTAGGGATTAGGGGGGTATGCTAATTTCGAAGAGTTCGGGGGAGTGAGTCCGTAAGAAAGTGCCAGAAAAAATGCGCGAACTGGCGAAACATCAAGTACCTCAACGGAGAAGACAAGACCAGAATAGCCACTGGAAGATCACCTAGCACAAGAAGTTTCTGCGTGGCCGCAAGCAGCAAGGTCGAGGATGGAAGTTGGACCAGAAAGCTTGACCAACAGCGGCCACATTCGAGTTCAAGTTGGCAATGGTTTATCATTTGGCATAAGAATCTTTCCTCCTCAAAAAAAAGAAGAAGGTTTTTGTTTGTCAAGCATGGCAACGGTGGGCAAGAAGCTGAACGATGCCGACCGAAAGGAAAGGCATGAACCTTAAGCCCTAGAAATTGAAACCTTACACCCTAATGTAAGCCCCCAAGACCCTGAACCTTCTCCGCAACGACTGCTCGCGGCTTCTCCGTTTTTACTTGTGCTGAAAATCACCTTACATTTTTATGAGTGCTTAAACCCAATAAGGAACACACATGATCATTTTTGTAGTACCCCAACAATGGTGCAGTTAAGCCCTAAAACACAGGTGAAAGGTGCCCTTGACCTGGAGACCGTGGCCTATACATCTGAGGGTAGTTTCATGGGCCCTTAAAGCTGTAGGGTATATTACTAAACCCTAAATACCCTAAACCCTAAACCCCAAACCCTAAACCCTAAACCCTAAACCCCATACACTGTAGGGTATCGTACCATCCCAGGAGTTTTTGCACGGCGATCTCGCGCCCTCAAAGGTTTTTGGGTTTCGGGCGCGCAGACTCAAAGAGCCCCAAGACCCCGCAAACTAAGGTACTTATACGGTTTAGGGTTTAGGGTTTAGGGTTTAGGGTTTAGGGGTTAGGGTTTAGGGTGAATTTCTACAAAGGATCCTGACATGGTTTTAAGGTATGTTCCTGTTTTCGAAGCCGCATTGCTACTATGTGTTTCAGATCCCCCCCCCAAGAAATATAAGAAGATGATCTTCCTTATAAGGGTAATATGGGGAATATTTTCCTGTTTGGGAGGTTCTTAAGCAAATTCTCATAGTTTAGAAGTAAATTACCGGAGTTTGGGGTTTGCTGGGGAACCTTGGCTTTCGCCCACTTGTGCCATGCAGCCCCACACGCTTAAGCACCCGTAGAGATAAAGCAAGAAGGCGAGTTTAGGGTTCAGGGTTTAGGGTTAAAGGTTCAGGGCTTAGGGTTTTGGGTTTGGGGTTTACCTTAACGCGAGGACTTCCTGGAGATCTTCTTCGAACACATAGGCGGCTTTGCGGGGCTCGCGTCGGGGGCTACTTAGGGTTTAGGGGTTGGCTCCCTAAACTCTTAAACCCTAAACCCTAAACCCTAAACCCTACACCCTACACCCTAAACCCTAAACCCTACACCCTAAACCCTACACCCTAAACCCTTTGCGATCTTTCTGTTCTCTGGGGTTCGAGCTTCTCGGGAGGGTTTAGTCTGTCTTGTGTGTTCCATGGCCTTGGGGTGCACTCTTGCAGCTTGAGAAGCGGGTGTGGGGGCGCGGCTCACCCTAATCCCTAAAGCCTAAACCCTAAAACCTAAACGGCATAGAAGAAGACAAGCTCCTCCAAGATGTTGCGGCAGACCTGTGTGCCTGAGCCCTAGAGATCCTGAACCCGAAGCCCTAAACCCTAAACCCTAAACCCTAAACCCTGAGCCCTAAACCCCAAACCCTTCCTGTGAATAAGACTTGAGCTTGGTACGCGGCTCATCACGAAGATCTCCGACCCTCGCCCTATACCCTGCACCCCAAGCCCTACATGCTTCAGATAACTTTTACAACCTATACCCCTGAAGCCTGCTCCCTTACAACCCTAGAACACTAGCTCTGGAACCCGAGAAACCTTCTAAACCCAAGAAAGCCCTACTATAAGCTTGAAGAACCTTACGAAGCCCTAGAACCCTGGAGCCCTAGAACCCTGCAAGCCTAGAGCCCTAGAACCCTAAGCCCTAAACCCTAAACCCTGAACCCTAGCCCTGAACCCTAAACCCTAAACCCCAAACCTCAAACCCTAGAACCCTCCTCTTGGCCTGCGTGGCCCGCAGGTCCCAGCTTCGCCAAAGACATGCTCTCGGCGATGTCGGCCACCAGCTCCGCCCAGTTCCTTGGTTTAGGGTTTAGGGTTTAGGGTTTAGGGTTTCGGGTTTAGGGTTTAGGGTTTAGGGGTATAGGTTTATGGTTTAGGGTTTAGGGTTTGGGGTTTAGGGTTTAGAGTGTAGGGTTTAGGGCTTTTTTTGGGGGTTCTTCAGCAATTCGTAGTTGGCTTCGCGGTTCTTGTAGGGCTCTATAGGGTTTTATATCAGTTGTTCAGGGTTTTTGTAGGGTTTTATCAGGTTTTTGTAGGGCTTGTAGGGTTCGTCAAGTTTTGCTCGGGTTTTGATAGGGTTTTATGACTTATGATTCCGTTTTTATGAGTTTTACAAGGTGTTATAGGGTGTTATCAGGTTTTTAGGGGTGTTTAAATTATAGGGTTCTATAGAGTTGTGGGTTTATAGGGTTCTAGCAGGTGTTATAGGGGTTTCAGCGATCGCAGCAAGCCCAGGAAGGAAGGAAGGGTTTAGGGTTTAGGGTTTAGGGTTTAGGGTTTAGGGTTTAGGGTCTAGGGTCTAGGGTCTAAGGTCTAGGGTCTAGGGTCTAGGGTCTAGGGTCTAGGGTCTAGGGTCCAGGGTCCAGGGTCTAGGGTCATAGAGTAGCTGGTTTTATCGCGTTTCTCCCGAATGCGTAATGGAGTAGAGGGTTCCGGTTCCAAGAGTTGGGGGTGTCAGGGTGCAGGCTGTAGGGGTTAGGGTTTCGGGTTTCGTGCGTTTTTTTTTTTCGCACAGCGTTCGAAAGCGCCTACGGTGGCGTCAATTTTCGGAAGTCCAGCATGTAGGCATGTGTCAGAAGGTCCGACGGTCACGAGGCTCTGGCCTCTCAGGGCTTTTGGAGGTGCCTCATCCTCGTATAGAACTGTCGTCACTTTTGGGTGATGTCTGCTTCACAAGTGCAGACAATCACGAGGAGTGAAGAGATGAGAGAGAGCAGGGGTTAGAGAGAAGAGATCAGAGAGAGAGAGAGAGGGAGAAAAGGAGAGAGAAGAGAGACGGATAGCACACTGATGTTCGGATCTGTGTCGGTTACACCGCATCTCCTTTGGTTGCCGTGTACGTAATACGCATCTTCTTTGGGGTTCGTGGCTCCTGTCAGGTTTGTGGGATTTTCATAGGGTTTTCGTGATTTTGGGTTTAGGGGTCTAGAGCGTGTCAAACAGCTTTATCGTGTTTCATAGGGTTATTATAAGGCCAGTAAACCCTATACCGGCTATAGGGTTATAGACATAGAGCTATAAAGTTTTAACGCTATGCGAGGACTGGAAGGCATGAGAATCGACTCCAGGTAAAAAGTCCGCCAGAAGCCGTTCCTCGCGGAAGCAGTCGTTCGTCTCCCCGAGGCTTCTTGATTCTTCCTGCGCAGTGAATTTAACTATGTTCCAGATGGGTACCATTTTTCATTTTCAAGGGTATTAAAACCCTATAACGAGTAAAGAAATGAATGTTTAAAAATCCCAACCATGCACTAGGTAAGTCTCTTTAGGAGTTCCCTAGATGCTTGACAGGGCCACGCAACACCTTCCTGGCGACGACGTCGAGCGACTAAAGCGCGATGTCAGTCGCAAGGGCGACGTGGACGGCATGACAGCGTTGCAAATCTCTCATGTCGAAACTCTCAAATAAGGTCTGGGAGCAGGAAAGTTCCGGCTATGTTGGCCTTGTCAAGTACAAGACGTGCGAGCAAGCCGCGAATGCCACGAAGGACGGGAGTCACAGCTATTGTCAGGGAAATCAGCTCAAGATCGAGTGCTCTCGACGGGGGTAGATCTAAGACTTTCTCCAAGTGCAGACCGTCAAGATGCAAGCAGTGTGATTTGAAGCTACCTTTCACAAGATCTAATCCCGAGCCGTGTGCGTAAAAGCACGTGCCGCAGCTGGACTCACAGATCCGCGTTGCTGGCCTCTCAGCCACGAGTGCTGAAAGATGGGCCGCGCGTCTGCGAGCGTGTGACAAGACACCTCATGACATGGTGAAGTCTGTGTCTTTACACACGTCGCCGTGCTTAAGAATGATAATCCCTGTTCGTTGCGTGTGGGGTTTTGTCTGTGTGGAACCCAGGGCAGAAAAAAACTAAGCAAGGGCATTGTGCTCAGACGCGCCAGGCAGCCTCGATGGCAACCCATGCTTTGTTTTCATGTTAAAAGAAATGTTTTTGGAAAGCATGTTGCGAGGACTTTGGGGATGAGGTGGTCCTTTCTTTCTTCACTGTGCAAAACAAAGCTGCAGGGGTGAGGCTGAGCAGCACGCATACGTCCTGGATTGCAGATCGGATCTGTTTCATCCAAACCCTAAAACTGCGGCATTCGCGGCCGGGTTCATCATGCAAGTTCCATGTCCTTAGAGATCGAAATTGTGTCTTTGCGCTGGCGCAAGGCCACAGTACACATGCGTTGCCTTGGCCCCAGGTGGAGACAAGGCCGCATGAGCATTCGCCGGGAAAGGTTGGACATGCTCAAGCTGCTCAAGCCTCTTTGCCAGCCAGTGCCTCGAAAGCCGTCGTGCGGGGCAGGTGGATGAGACCCTGCAGGCACAGGCTCCGAATCTGTGGCGGTGCTGCGTGAAGCTCGAGTTGGACGAGGAGGCGAGGGTTGCGACTCGGTGTAAAGAGTAAAGAATCAGTCAGTGGAAGGGCGCTTGTGCTGTTGCTGCGTTCCTACGCCGCCTACTCAGGTCTTGCTTTTCCCTCGTTCTGAGCTCCGAGGCCGGCCGGCAGCGCGTGCACGAGCTCACGCTGAAGCTCATGTGCAGTCAGGCAGCGCAGTTCTGGGGCCAGCATCTCTTGAGGAAGAAACCGTTGGGCCACAGGACGACTTGAATGGGTTCGTCCATCAGGCCAATGCCCTCCTGAGCGCCAGGAGAGTTTCCTTCTGGCGCCACGCATGTCTCACTCACAGCTTTGAAAGTTCACAGGGCGTACGGCCCTGATCATGTTGCATTATGTTATCCAAAAGCCTGGAACCCATCCTTCCCCTGTAAGATTGAGGTTTCAGGCTTCGGGCATTTAGGGTTCAGGGTTCAAGGGCCCCTTTAGGGTCTTAGGATTTAAGATTCAGGGTCAGGGCCCTCTCTGACGCCTTCAGGATATCGATCAAATAGTGGCCCCCCCCCCCTTGCAAGTCCAGCTACAAATCCGTTACAACGTCTTGCTAAAAACACAAGCATGGATAAGGGAGATACAGAGTTTTATATGGAAAGAGATAGGAAAAGATAGCAGACATAGCCAAACTATCTCTTTGGGCCCCTGCTTTTTTTTTTGGGGGGGGAGGGAAATTCTTTGGGGACTGGTTTTGCGAAATTTGCACAATCAGCAACCGTGAGCAAGGACCGCTCTACATACTTGTCTCGGCAGCTGCCATGTTATTCATTTTATGGGCGGATGAAGATAGGCTTTGTAGTTTGCAAGCACATCCTTGCTTTTTGAATTGTAGCACTCCGTGCCGACATGTAGTTTTGTTGTATGCCACTAAGCCCTTAGACTTCGCAAGCCCAAAGCCCGAGGGTTTTAGGGTTTTTTGCGCCCTGAGGCTGTTTGGAAGCCTGGGTACCAGCTTCTGCGCAGCCCCTCGGGGCGGAGTCCGAGTGTGCTTGAGGGTTTACGGGTAAGGGCCCTAAAGCCTGACCCCTAAACCCTAAGACGTCAGCCCTAAACCCTATGCCCTAAGCCCTAAGCCCCAGGTTGAGGGCTTTGGGGCCAGCAGTTGAGGCTTCAACGTGATTCACGGTCGGGGGGGCTAGTGGTTTGGGAGCTCCAGGGCTTATGGCATGGAGGTCCGGGGTTTCAGCATTTTGGGGTTTCAGGGTCTTTAGGGTTTCAGGGTTTTGGTGTTTTAGGGTTCTAGGGTTTTAGGGTTTTAGGCTGAGAAGCTTTTAGGGTAGGGTTTTAGGGCTTAGGGTTTAAGGTGCTTCCCAAACTCGGTTTCAGAGTAGACTCTTATTAGGGTTTAGGGTTTAGGGTTTAGGCTTTAGGCTTTAGGGTTTAGGCTTTAGGGTTTAGGATTTTGGGGCTTAGGATTTAGGGTTTAGGGTCTCGGGTCTTATATATCCTGTTTTTGAGGTGAAGGTCCCTTGGAAGCCCCTTTGAACAATCAGGGTTGGCCCCTTGGTTAAGGGTTTAGTCAATAGGCCGCTATGTTGTGCTGCCCCTCCTAACCCTGAACCCTAAACCTTACACCCTAAACCCTAAACCCTAAACCCTAAACCCTAAACCCTAAACCCTAAACCCTAAACCCTAAACCCTAAACCCTAAACCCTAAACCCTAAACCCTAAACCCTGAACCCTGAACCCTGAACCCTGAACCCTGAACCCTGCCTCCAAGTAGCTTTGAGGAACTGTTTCAGAAGCTGGGCGCCACCTACGTGCAGGAGCTCTTCCTCTTCTTGGGGCAGCTTGGGGAGAGCTTCAGGGTTTTGGGGGTTTAGGGTTTGGGGTTTGGGGTTTGGGGTTCAGAGTTTTGGGGGTTTCGGACTTAGGGGCCACCAACCCTGAGGGGCCTCAACGCTGGGGATGAGGGTTTTGTGTTTGGGGTTTGGGGTTTGGGGTTTCGGGAGTAAACCTTAGACCACTAGAGTACTTGAAGTTTAAGGATGACATGGCCAGTTCTACTTCTTTTCTTGGACACGACTAGAAAGGATTAGAATTTAGGGTTGAGGGTTTGCTCGGTTTAGTGTCTAGCTGTGCTCCAAAAGATCCTAGTTTCGGCTGAAAACGACAGTCCGAGAGTCGCAGGGTGTATCGGCTTAGGTGGGTTTTCAACCTTAATGACCCTAAGCCCCAAACCCTGCATCCTAACCCCCGTCCATCCCCCAGTAAACCTCTTCCCTAGCTACGAGGTTTGGGGGTTTAGGTTTGAGAAAGGATGCCTGTGCGTGTGTGTTTTTCTCTTGGTTTTGGCTCGGCTGCGTGTTTACCCTGAATTCTAGGTGGTGTGTGTGTGTGTGTGTGTGTGTGTGTGTGTGTGTGTGTGTGTGTGTGTGTGTGTGTGTGTGTGTGTGTGTGTGTGTGTGTGTGTGTGTGTGTGGTGTGTGTGTGTGTGTGTGTGTGTGTGTGTGTGTGTGTGTGTGTGTGTGTGTGTGTGTGTGTGTGTGTGTGTGTGTGTGTGTGTGTGTGTGTGGTGTGTGTGTGTGTGTGTGTGTGTGTGTGTGTGTGTGTGGTGTGTGTGTGTGTGTGTGTGTGTGGTGTGTGTGTGTGTGTGTGTGTGTGTGTGTGTGTGTGTGTGTGTGTGTGTGTGTGTGGTGTGTGTGTGGGTGGTGTGTGTGGGTGTGTGTGTGTGTGTGTGTGTGTGTGTGTGTGTGTGTGTGTGTGTGTGTGTGTGTGTGTGTGTGTGTGTGTGTGTGTGTGTGTGTGTGTGTGTGTGTGTGGGTGTGTGTGTGTGTGTGTGGTGTGTGTGGTGTGTGTGTGGGGTGTGTGTGTGTGTGTGTGTGTGTCTGTGTCTGTGTCTGTGTCTGTGTCTGTGTCTGTGTCTGTGTCTGTGTCTGTGTGTGTGTGTGCGTGTGCGTGTGCGTGTGCGTGTGCGTGTGCGTGTGCGTGCGTGCGTGCGTGCTTGTGACGCGTTAGGAAGCCAAGCGTTGTAAACACGTCCTGTGTTTACAAACAGGCCGGGTGTTTACAAACAGGCCGGGTGTTTATAAACAGGCTGGGTGTTTATAAACACATAAATCTTTGGGCGGGGTCGCACGTCCTGTGTGTATAAACAGGCTGGGTGTTTATAAACATATAAATCTTTGGGCGGGGTTGCACGTCCTGTGTTTGTAAACAGACTGGGTGTTTTATAAACATATCAATCTTTGGGCGGGGTTGGGAGGGGGGTGGGGGTGGCGGGAGGGTGTTGGGTTTCCCCCCCCCCACCCCCCTCTCCCCCCCCCGTCCCCCCCCCTCCCCCCCCCCTCCCCCCCCCTCCCCCCCCCCCTCCTCCCCCCCCCCTCCCCCCCTCCCCCCCCCCTCCCCCCCTCCCCCCCCCTCCCCCCCCCCCCTCCCCCCCCTCCCCCCCCCCCTCCCTCCCCTCCCCCCCCCCTCCGCCCCCCCTCCCCCCCCCCCCCCCTCCCCCCCCCCCCCCCCTCCCCCCCCCCTCCCCCCCCCCCTCCCCCCCCCTCCCCCCCCCCTCCCCCCCCCCCCCCGCCCTCCCCCCCCTCCCTTCCGCGGATTCAAGCATCGAGCATCAACGTTCTTACTCGCTTGCTTCGGCGAAACGTTCCCCTGAACACTAATTTTATTCACTAAATCTTAAACGGATAAGGTCTAGGTCTTAAACGAATAAGGTTTAGGAATAGGGTTTGGCCAAGAAGCATGAAACGAAAAAGCTTCAGGCATAGGCATAGGGTTCAGCAAGTAAGGTTCAAGAATCAAGCTATCAGCCCAAGAGTCTCCCCTTCTCCCATCTCCTACAACGCCCAGGTGCGCGGTTTAGGAATCTGGACCAAATAGACCTACTTGTCTGGCACAACATCCCCAAATGTTAAAAGAATAGGTTTGGGAACAAGGTATGTATGTCCCTAAACCTTAAACAAGCATGCATATTAAATATATTGGAATAGCGTCTGACCCTAGGTCTTAATCGAATAAGTTGCTTAGAAATCTAAACCTTGAATGCGTAGGGTTTATGAGTTGCTTGCTTGTGATTCTTGAGGATAGTTTACGTGTGAGTCTTATCCTTGAGAAATGGGTACTCTTTTGGAGACCCTTTGAGAAATATTGAGATGAAAACCCACATAATTACTTGCGAGTAAGTCGGGCTGTTGGGCAAGCGCATAGTCAAAGGGTATTTGCTCACAGTATTCTCGCTTCCCTGAGACGTGCATATACTTTATTTCTTCGCATCACCCTATGCTCTCAAACACTTCCTAGGAGTTCTTCGCATCTCCATTTTCTCTATTTGAGTGGGTAGAACTTCTACGTTTTGCATACAATACATACACCGTATGTACATACTCAACGTGGGCAGTTATTCTCCATGCTTTTTGCATTCCACAGGAGGCAAGCCCTGAACTTTGTGGGCATTGCTTAAGGAGACGGCTCACGCATTGTTTTTTTTCGTCTAGACTTTGATTTTATTCAGTCAATCTTAGACGAATAAGGTTTTTGGCCCTAAATCTTGGACGAATAAGGTTTAGGAATAGGGTTTGGCTTGTGTATTAAGCAAATAAGCTTCAGGCATGAGGTTCAGCGAGTAAAATATACGGCCGAAACCTTAAACGAATAAGGTTTAGGAGTAGGGTCCAACAAATATTTTTTGGCCCAAACCGTAAACGACTAAGGTTTAGGATCTGGGTCCGACAAATGTTTCCCCCCCCCCCCCCCCGCTCTTCTGGCATGTGGACTCCTGTTCATCCAACACTTCGGTTCACGAAACATATCCCACTCAGCATGTGTAACAGGCTTCAACCAAAAGCTTTGCTCACAATAACATCGTCGACATGGGTTGCTTCGACAAAAATCGCGGCTTTTATGCTGGGTGCACGCAACATTCGCAAAACATGCACCATGGAAAACGCAGGCCCCATGACAGGCCGCTCTCTATAAGTACCCATGAATCTCCAAGTAACCCCTAAAACCTAAACCCTAAACCCTATGACTCACACAAAGCACACCAACAGACACACACGCACAACCATCCCCTCCCTTAGGTTGTAGGGTAGTTTCAGGGACCCTTCATGTGGTCCACTACCTTTTTCAAAGGGTTCTGATGTATGAGCGCTTGATTTGTATAGGGTACATAAGTGGTAGACAGGGGCTCCCCATTTCAAGGCCCATATTAAGCGACCAGGAAACTACCCTAACATTTAGGACTAAGGAACGTGAATCCTAAATTCCCCTGAAACCACCAGAAGCTTTGTTCGAAACCCCAAGATTCAAGCATGCGTGTCGAACCCTAAACCCTAAACCCGAAATAAGCCCTAAGCCGAACCCCAGAGTTTAGGGCCAGGACCTTGTAACACGCAGCTCTAGATTCCGAAGAACCGGCTTAGGGCGTCTTCGGGAACTTGAATGCCTTCAACTGGGGTCTTGGGCTCAGGGTTTTGGGTTTAGGGTTTAGGGTTTGGGGGCTTGGGGTCTAGGGTTTAGGATTTAGTGGATAGGGTTTAGGGTTCAGGGTTTTAGGGTTCAGGGTTTAGGGTTTAGGGTTTAGGGTTTAGGGTTTCGGGTCACCAAAGCCCAGGCACCGCTTCTGCAGCGACCTCTTTTTAGGCTTGAGCAGTGATTGGACGGCTGATGTTCACAGGAAGCGGCCTCGACGCACTCAGGTGAACATATGGGGGGTTTACCAACATGAGGGCCCCCCCCCAAAACACCAGACACCCAAAATAGTAGGATTCCCTGGTAATATGGACCCCATATGTCTAAGCTGGGGTAGATTTTTGAGCCCCTTCTGACCTACAACATTCTGATGATCTCTCTGAGGGGGCGGTGATGCTAGGGGCAGTGGCTTGTAATAGTTCCGGGTGAGTGTCTGGGAGGTCTGGGCGTATCAGGATTCAGGAAGCTCGTAAATGTGTTTGGCGGGGCGGTTGGGTCTTAGTGTCGAGCGTTCATATCTGCAGCCCTAAATTGCAAACGCAGTGTAGTGCTCTGGGATTCAGCTCGTTGAGGCCAGGATTTCGTCTTCTTCCTAGACAAATCTCAGCTGCCCTGAGTGCGTGTTCTGCTTCAAAAGGGGGGTCATCTAAATTACGGCACCTTTTGCTTGTATATTCTAGTACACGACTTTAGGGTATCTACTTTTTGGTGGGAAGCTGCCTACGCTGCCCCATCCGAACAAAGCTCGAATATGGTTCAGCGTAACTTGCCCCATCTGCCCCATCCACTCAACTCTAGCATCTCATGGTGGCTTCTAGGACTAGTATTTGCTTGAGAATCCCAAACAGATCAGAAACGTTCTTCCTTGTAACGTAAGGGTAATATGGGGGGGTTATTTTCATATTTTCGGGGGTTCTTAGATACATAGTGGAGGAAGGCTGCCGACTCAAGATTGGATAACCCTAAAGCCTAAACCCTAAACCCTAAACCCTAAACCGTCTAGGATCTAAAGTGAAGGGCCTTGTAACGCTTATATCTAGGTAGGCCCGTGGAATATTGCATATTATTCGGTTGCAGGGTTTAGGGTTTAGGGTAGTTTAGGGTTTGGGTTTAGGATTTTGGGTGATGTTTCAGAGGGTTTTGAGGGCCATCCTCGAAATGACGCAGACAGCAATGCCCCGAAGCCGAAACTCGCAAATTCGATCGTCCTACAACACCCTTATCTCCTAAACCTTAAACTGCTAAACCCCAAGCCACTATGCCACTAAGCCACTAGGCCCTAAACCCTACACGCTAAACCCTAAACCCTAAACCCTAAACCCTAAACCCTAAACCCTAAACCCTAAACCCTAATCATCCTGCCTGAGGATGGGCTCTGAGTTCTGTGTCGCTCTCTACGGTGCGCCTCCTTAGGGTTTAGGGTTTAGGGTTTAGGGTTTAGGGTTACAGGGGGTTCATATCGTGGCTTCCGGGTTTAAGATTTTAGGGTAGAGGGGCTTCAAGGGCTTCAGGGCTTCAAGGGCTTGCGGGGCTTCAGGGGTCTAGGGCTTTAGGGCGTATAAGGGTTTAGGGTTTTTCTGGCAGTTTTGGGGTATAGTTTTTAGGGCTCAGGGTCTGGGGTGCGGGGTTTGGGTTTCTAGGCTTTCAGTGTAGTAGGGGTTTGGACGTTGTTAGGGGTTCAGGGTTTCGGAGTCTAGAGGTTTAGGGTTTATAGTTCAGCTGTTGAGTCTCTAGGCTTTTGGGTGAAAGCCTTGCATTAAGCTCTGCTTTCGCGTTCACGGTGAAACGTAAACCCTAAAACCCTAAACCCTAAACCCTAAACCCTAAACCCTAAACCCTAAACCCTAAACCCTAAACCCTAAACCCTAAACCCTACGTATGAACAAGAAACAAGGCGCGACCCTCCATTTACCTTTTTTCAGCAAGTCTTACTCGGAAGGAACCCGAAACTTCCTAAACTCCCCAAACTGGGTTTAGGGTTTAGGGTTTAGGGTTTAAGGTCTCGCGTGGGCAAGAAGCTCCACAGCGGGGTTACGCAGGGCTCTCTTTTCCACCAAGCAGGAACAACACAACAAACAACAAGACAACACAAGTTCTGATAGGAGTCTGTGTCCTATAACGTCTGTGCTCACACTGTACACTATACATGATGATTTCTTAAAAAGACACTCTGCTTGTGGCTTGGGCTCCTGTAGACCTAAGCCGACATGTTGCAGACATGGTAATCCAACTGGTTTCTTACTCACTCGCGCTCCCCCTTGGTGACACGTCACCAACTGTTTGCTGGGAGGCAAAGAGCTTCGAAACGGCTTTCACTGCATCCTGCGGCGTGGGATGCTGTTCCGAAATGAATCATGTTTAGCCTCTTGGAAGCAAGATGCTCCGTCAAAGATGGACTCTGTATGCCCCACTCCGGCCTGGGGTGTGTCCCCGGCATAGAGGAAGCAAAAGTCCACACACACTTCATATTGGACCTGGCAGCAAAAGGTTCACATCAACCTCCAGCTCTGTGCGTCCACGCCATTGATGCTCACGATGAAGTCCTCGGGCGCCGCATTTC